GCCAAAACTTCCACTACATCATTGGATTTGTTTAGTAGTTCTGAGCAAATGAGCGACTCTGTGACGTACAAGCCAATCCTCCTCCTCCCTTGGCGCCTGTTTAGTCTGTCGCATCTAAAAAGGTTATAACCTGGGATCCATATTTCGTTGTCAAAATGATCCTTTATGTTGGCCTCCGTGAAAGCTGCAAACATTGCATTTGACTCCATGAGCAGTCCCTTGATGTAAGGAATTTTGCTGTTTGTTGATGGCTTTAGACCCTGTATGTTTGCAAAGATAAATGTTGTTATATTAATGAAAGTAGGGGGGGTTTATTTGCTGGTTTTAATATCTGTTGTTATGGAGTGGAAGCCAATGACTGTGCCTCTGCTCCAGAAGTGTTTTCAGTTAATGTAAGATTTCTGTCATTTCTTGCCAGTCTTTTTTCCTTCCTGGCACTAATAAACCTCCTTCTCTGGAGAGGCTATGGCTCCCCTCCTCTTTTGTTTCCTGTAATCCAGCTGGTCTGTGTCTTCTTGTTCCCTTTAGATGATGTGCCTGGCAATATACGTTGTAGCATTTTCTTTTATGGAGTAACGAGTGACACATTTTGGGGTGAAATAATTTACAGGAAGGGGAGTTGCACCCTCCTGTTGTCATGTGGATGCGGCATATTTTGTGATGGTCAAAAGTGTATGTCTCACATGTTTTACCAGATATATCATGCCTGCAGATACCCAAGGCATAGAATTTGCATAGATTGGAATTTTGTTTGCTAGGATTTTTTGTGGTTGCATTCCCTACTGATGCATTTTTTTTGTTTCCTCACTACCTACCGCCCCTGTATGGACATTAGTGCTTCCACCAGTTTTTACTGGTAATTCCCTGAGTCATCAAACCCTTTTGTTCCATCTCCAGCATTATCGCTACTTTGAACCTCTGTAAATTGAATAACATTGTCTTTACCTGTCTCCACTTGGCGCGTTGTCCTCCTGATCAACACTAGCACCCTCTGGAGCACTGTCTTCCAAGACAGCCCCATCCAACCCACCCATTTTATTTTCCCAGCTGTCATACCAGACTGACATATCTTTCAAGAAGGATATTTTATTGTTGTTCTTATCTTTTAATATAGATTTAATTTCCTCATACTGGTGTATCTCGTTGGGGCAGACCCAAAAACATTTCTCTGATTTTATATCAAAAGTGGTTGCTGGTCTAGTGTTTCTGCATGACCCATGGGACCATTTACCACAGAGATTGCATGCAATCCAGGCATAACTTTGTTACCATTTCTGTAGACTACACAGGTTTTCATGGTGGTGGTCATTTACAACACTTTACAACTCTCTGAACTAGCTAGTCTAAAACTACTAAAAATATTTAGTTGTTAGTGTTTAACAGTTCTTATGGATTTTATGTATTATAGTTTCAATTCCATACAACAATCTTCCTTCCTGGTACACTTGAACAGTTCTTCAAGGTAGGCTGACTAGATAAGCCTACTATAAAAGTAATTTGTTTTATATGTTGGTATATATACTGTAGTTTGATATATATGGTATATCTACTGCAGTTTACTATGTATGATTGTAGATGAATGGTTCACAGAACCGACACGTTGATAAATTAGACACATGTGCAACTTTTGGGTATCATTATTAAGGAAACGTTTCGCCACACAGTGGCTTCATCAGTCCATACACAGGAGAAGCTTCTCCTGTGTATGGACTGATGAAGCCACTGTGTGGCGAAACGTTTCCTTAATAAAGATACCCAAGAGTTGCACATGTGTCTAATTTATCACTATGTATAATCTCATTCTCCTCCCAGAAAAGGCTTTCTCAAGTTATCGTATAGAAACCAAAACAAGGAAGGGTCTATATGGCATTGACCAAAGGGCACTTGTACGTGCCAATAGTTGCATAAACATTTCCCTACTAATACACCAACCCGAGTTGAAAATCTGAAGCCGATCGGGTGAGGCGTTCTCAAGTTATAAATAAAAACCTCGGAAGAGAAAAAATATATGCAGACATCTACCTAAAGGTGCCCCTTCAAGAAAACCTGAAATGTGAATGACTGATTAAAACCAATACCACAATTAGAATATGTAAAAAATAATTATAAACGGCGAATTAGAATATCTAAAATGCATCATAAACGGTGAATAAGTATATCTAAAAATGCGTTATAAACGGTGAATTAGAATATCTAAAATGCATCATAAATGGTGAATAAGTATATCTAAAAATGCGTTATAAACGGTGAATTAGAATATCTAAAATGCATCATAAATGGTGAATAAGTATATCTAAAAATGCGTTATAAACGGTGAATTAGAATATCTAAAATGCATCATAAATGGTGAATAAGTATATCTAAAAATGCGTTTTAAACGGTGAATTAGATTAAAAATGCATTATAAACGTTGATCTAGAATGCAGTGTCACGTACATAACTGTTTTAAGGAATACAAAATTAATTACATCTGAAATTAACAAATTTTAAAATAGCTAAGTTTGACCTGACTTCCCTGCGTCAGGCAGAGGTTTTTCCGTAGACTCATCACTAAGCTGCAAATATTATCTGGCATTTTACAATCTAGTATCAAAGAATATTAAAGGAAGTTAAAGACAAAGTATAAAAACTTTGACCACATTTTTTAGAAAGTTCTTGGAGAGCAGCACTTCCTCAGAGGTACAAACATCAACATCTTGGTTTCAGTTCTGGTTAGCAGTAATCTGAAACCAAGACAACAGTGAACAATAAAATGGTATAAAATACCGACAGGTTGTTTAGGTAAGACACATATGCAACAGTTAGGTATCTTTATTTCGAAACGTTTCGCCTACACAGTAGGCTTCTTCAGTCGAGTACAGCAAAGTTGATAGAAGCAGAAGAGACTTGAAGACGATGTAATCAGTCCATCACCCTTAAAGTTTTGAGGTGGTCAGTCCCTCAGTCTGGAGAAGAGTATTGTTCCATTGTCTGGAATAATATGGAGTTGAAGTAACGAACGAACGAAAGTTCAGGTAAGATCCCAAATGGGATGAGCGGGGAAGACGGGACAGACGAAGAACAGTGCTGGAGAGGAGTGTTCTTAGTCGTAGAAATAGAGCCAGGGCTTAACCCAGCAGCGAGGCGATCGTGGGACAGATATTGAGAAGAGAAATTCAGGCTCTTCTGTTGGGACTCCGGTGGGGTGAGCGGGGAGGAAGGGACATGCGACGTTTAGAGCTAGAGAGGAGTGTAGAACTGAGTTGAAGTGATAGGATGGAGCCTTATATAGCGCCAGGAGGTGAGACGTAGTTCACTAGTGGAGTAAGAATGTAGACACTGAGAGGTCAGGTCCCTCTCAAATCCAGCCTTTCTCACTAGTAGAGGTTGTTGAAGTGGTTCCAAGTCTGTACCAAGATACCCTTGTGTTGTAGTGTCTGTAGGTAGTAGTCGTTTTGATAAGGACCTGCCTCGCATGGGCCAGTGGGCCTTCTGCAGTGTTCCTCCAATCTTATGTTCTAACTTCCTAGCAACTATCAGGAATTAGATTAGCTTACATAATCTTGGAAACATTAGCCAAATGTTTCCTCGAGAATATATAACTGTGTATATATACTTACATATATAACTATGTTCATGTATGTAAAGTAAAAGGACACAAGTGCAACTAATGTGACATTTATTGTGGCAACGTTTCGCTCTCCAGGAGCTTTATCAAGCCATTACAAACAATACATGGACACAGAGGGTATATAAAGGCTCAGAGTGAGGTGTAATACTAGTGAGGTACCATTTCGATGTTCACTAGTGGTAGTGGTAGTAGTATAGTAGTAGTATGTAGTAGTAGTAGTAGTGGTAGTCACTACCACTACTACTACCACTAGTGAACATCGAAATGTGTACCTCACTAGTATTACACCTCACTCTGAGCCTTTATATACCCTCTGTGTCCATGTATTGTTTGTAATGGCTTGATAAAGCTCCTGGAGAGCGAAACGTTGCCACAATAAATGTCACATTAGTTGCACTTGTGTCCTTTTACTTTACATATTGTCGGTAATTCTACCAACTTTATGTTCATGTAACTATATATGCAACTTGGCATTTAATGTTATGAATAAATTAAAATTTCACAATATGGCAATCGGGGAAGGAAATCAGTCGTTTAACAAATAGTGATTCATTTATTTTATATTTTTATTATGTACAGTAAGTGCTCTTATTAAGGTAATCTCCAGCGTGTGTGATTCTTTGCAAAATACAACTGAAAAAAGGTGCATCCAGAATTTAATAGGACATATGATGCAGGCCTTAGATGTTCTATTCACTTCGATTTATTTCAATTGCATTTGCAAATAAATTGCACTATATAGAGGAGTTTTATAAGGGAGCTGATTGTACAAAGCGACAGATGCATAAACCTAGATTTTCAGAACTCCTATAAGGTTTTCAGTTGTGACGGCCCATAGTGCAGACGCATGTGAGGGGTAGGCAGTGTAGACTACAAAAGCCTATAAAAAATACAACAAAATCCTTAGGTATATTGATATATCATCGCTATTTAAATTGGAGACTGTAATATTCAAAGTGTTCGGTGGGTTGGTGGTTTATTAGTGAGGAAACACAAGTATCTCCTGAAATGAGTCTTTGCCAAGTGATGTCACGGTTCTTTAGTTAAAAATCATCTGGTTTACATGTGCTATGTACAGATGATTCACGAAGGGGTTCTGGGGCAGGTGCTGGGAGGAGTCCTAGGCTTGGTGAGGATACAGGAGGAGAGGGCTAGCACACTGCCTTGAGAACACAACACAGTGTATCACAGGTTCTGACGTGGCCGCGGAATGTGACGTGGCTCTCCACCCAACCTTGTCAACGTCATTCCCTCGAGTGACTCACCCCCACTGCCGTGACACCTGTGTTGTGTACGGTGTGTGAGCACCACCACCACCTGTGTTTTGTACGGTGTGTGAGCACCACCACCACCTGTGTTGTGTACGGTGTGTGGGGGACAAGCACCTCCACCTGTGTTGTGTATGGTGTGTAAGGACAAGCAAGCACCACCACCTGTGTTGTGTACGGTGTGTGAGGACAAGCACCTCCACCTGTGTTGTGTATGGTGTGTAAGGACAAGCAAGCACCACCACCTGTGTACGCAAAAGACAAAATAAGTTTCTAATTTTCTGTCCATTTTCCATCACTGTAAAAATAATAAAATAAATGTTATCCCTGCAAACAATTGAAACTTCTAGTAGAGTGAGTGTGGGAAGGAGTCGTCAGTGGTCACAGTGTGGGAAGGAGTCGTCAGTGAACTGGTCACAAAGAACTTAAACCTTATCCTCTTAACAGGAAATTTCTCGGTCTACATTAAGTTCAGTTATCCTTAATTATACTAGCTTGTTGTCTTTCAATCAGTATAAACCATTTTATACCACAACGGCAATAAATCCAACATGACAGGAAAAAAATTTGACTTGTGGACAGAAAACGGGGATCCAGTGGAGCACGTAATAGTCCAGTTAATTTCAGCTTAAGATTCGTGAAGTCACCAATTTAAACTGACTTAACAGTAAAATATTCACTGTTATTAAGAGGGTGGGTTAAAAATAATTGTTGCGACTTACGCTGCACCTTGCACCGTACAACCATGATTTATCATCATTTTCGTTTGTTTTTTATCGTAGTTTCATCTGAATTTTAACGCTCTACTTTCCTTTAATAAAGATTAGTTTATGTTTTTTTTTTGTTTTTTTTTTTTTTTTTGATATGGGAGAAACTAAACTAAATCTGTCACAATAACACACGTAATAAAAATGTTATCATTATTGTTAGTTTTCTTTTTATAGTTATACTTTATTTTGAACGCTTCAGATACATGAAAAAAAAATGTGTTTTCTTTGCTTTTCAATAAACTTTCAAGTTCACAAGAAACAGGTGATATCTTAATAAGCAAAATAACCAGTGAAAAAAATAGTTCAATTTCAAGCATTTATTTCTCACATTATGAAGGAGTGTTAAGCGATTTAGTCAGGTCACATGTCAAGAAAACTTTCTTGTTAGGTGAAGGGGAACTTTGTCAACATAGTTTATAATCCTCACAAATTATATTGATTATAAATTAATCTAATTTATATAACCCTGAACTTATATTCACATTTCAGTTAATACTATTTTTTGTGTGCTGCAAGATTCGATTATATTACGTTCAACTGTTGACCTGCTTGATACAACCTTCTCAGCTGTTTCATAGTCAATTGGGTGGTTAAAATCTTTCACATGAATAAACAGACCATTAGACTCTTGTCCAGTTCTAATGCTATATTTATGTTTTTTGTAATCATAATTTAAGATTTACACTTTCAAACTGCTGCTATAGTGACCAGTTCACTCTCACGTTACATAAATCATAATTACAAAGATGGTAAAACTGTTTAGAGTATTTTTTCACATTCCACAATCCATATGCATAATTCGTTCCAAGCTATCAGCAGTGTTAGGAAATTTAGATGGAAGGGGAAACATCCCCACCATTTACGCCGAAAGTGATGCTGGGGTCTTAGGTAAGCACCCTGAGGGAAGGGTTGCTCCCTCCCAGAGAAGAGGCCCCTGCCCCTTAGGCACGAAGCACGCACACCACACCACCGCGTCAAGGTAACCCAGCGTCCAGGTGTCAGCGTAGGAGTCAAGAGGACCAGGAGCTAAGTCAGCATCACAAGGAAAAATACAGATATCTGCCTCGGATGGAAAATATAAAAAGGTGAAACGGGAGTATTAGTGTCAGTCACCTTATCGAAAGTTGAAGTGGAAGGAATGCCATGCTGTCTTCTGACTGTATATTATGAATTAGACACATGTGATAATTGTACTTATGTGTACCCGTGGCTCAATAAACTTACCTATGAGCTCTCTGTCTCAGAGAAGAGACGTACAAGACTTTGTTGTAGCATTATCCACGCTCTTCGTCAGATCCAAGTGAGCTCCCTTCGTAATCCTATAGGAGCTCTCTTTGATCTCGAATTTATCGCCTCGTAAATGACTGATGGCTCCAAGGAACAATATATTTTTGAGTCTACTTATGCACACCATAAACGTTATTATTACTTTACTTCCTGGGACCACCTTTCTTCGCCTTTGGCATTCCTTCCCTCGGTGAAAGCATCGGCAGTTTTCATAGCAGTTTATAACATTTTTTTTTTTCACATTCTCTAGTTTAACGATGATCTGAATTGTCTGAAAACTTTTTTTTTTGTCTTGCATGACTTATTAAACACGCTATGTTAGTGTTTACACACGTTCACTGATCTTTAGTTTCAACACCAGTTATGCTCGTCGTTCGTTAGTTTTAACTTCCTTTACGTTCACTAATCGTTAATTTCAACGTCAAGTTGCGTTCATTATTCAGTGTTAACTCAGTTACGTTCACTACTCGTTGGTTTCAAGGTGAGCTATGTTCGCTACTCATTGGTTTCAAGGTGAGTTACATTCACTACTCGTTAGTACAAAATCTCTCGGTTACAGTTTCAAAACCCGTTATTTTTAACTAAGTCAGTAACCGAGTCTCATTATATGATGCATTTATTAGGTCCAGTAAAAAAAAAAAAAAAGAAGTAGCTTACTTCTCTGTGTGTTTTTTCCTATGTTCAACTAACATAATTTCTCTGGCGAGATAACATATTTTGCATTTACTTAAGAAGATAAAGGATGCAGAGTA